TTGGCGGCTAGCACTTTTTTCCATCCAGTAAACCGCCCTATCGATTTTCTAAAGTCGTTTTTCAGATTTTTTTATTAATTCGATTAGGGTTAGAGTTAGGGTTGGGGTTAGGGGTTAGAGTAGGGACTAGGTGTAGGGTTTGTGTTAGTTACATTGCCATTTAAAGGCCGCTTTCCACTTCAACCGTATCGTACACGCGTAAAAACGCTCAGGTTGATGCAATACTGATGAAAACAGGATTGAACAATGTTTTGCTGCCCACATTGTTCATAGCTGTCAACAATATTGAATAATATTCAGGCGCAACAATAGTGTTCAATATTGTTGACAAGTGTGAACAATGTGGGCTGCAAAACATTGTTCAATCCTGTTGAGCAGCGGGCTCGGCGTTTTTTGCGGTGTACCGAAACGTAGCGTATTTCTTTGTTTCCTGAGCGCCAGAGTGGAACTAATGATTTCAACACAAAAGAAAACGCTACGATACGGTCGAAGTGGAAAACAGGTTTAACACCTCTTCTCTCTTCCGAAAATGACGTCAGGTCAGTTTGCTGGATGGAAAATAGTGCTACTATTAGGATTGGTGTACAGTTATCCCGGTCGAAACAGGTTTTAATGTCTGGTACGACTCATAAACTGAGATTCCATGATATTACAAAAAGAATGAATTTAAGGAAAAATTCGTATGCATATGATTACGAATAACATTAGACATAGAATATACTTCAAAGACAGAAAATTTTGAATAATATTGTTAGTTTCTTTACATTTTGACAATATTTTTTTTTAAATTCGTCAGGCCCGCAACTAGACCCGCGGCTTGCAATCGTGTTAGCATTTTTCTGCCCGCAGTCCGCATTTTTCGGCCCGCAGCCCGCATTTTTCGGCCCGCAGCCCGCAATTATTGGCCCGCAACCCGCATTTTTCGGCCCGCAACCCGCATTTTTTGGCCCGCAGCCCGCATTTTTGGCCCGCAGCCCGCAGTTTCCGCCCGCAGCCCGCAGTTTCGGCCCGCAGCCCGCAACCCGCAGAATAGTTAAACTCGGTTTTAATGTCTGGTACGACTCATAAACTGAGATTCCATGATATTACAAAAAGAATGAATTTAAGGAAAAATTCGTATGCATATGATTACGAATAACATTAGACATAGAATATACTTCAAAGACAGAAAATTTTGAATAATATTGTTATTTTCTTTACATTTTGACAATTTTTTTTAAAAAATTCGTCAGGCCCGCAACTAGACCCGCGGCTTGCTATCGTGTTAGCATTTTTCTGCCCGCAGCCCGCATTTTTCTGCCCGCAGCCCGCAATTTTTGGCCCGCTGCCCGCAATTTTTGGCCCGCAGCCCGCAATTTTTGGCCCGCAGCCCGCAATTTTTGGCCCGCAGCCCGCAGTTTCGGCCCGCAGCCCGCAACCCGCAGAATAGTTAAACTCATAATTGGTTATCTCTTAGCTTATCTCAGCAAGTAGATTCGTTACTTAATGGTTTACCAATGTTGAATTTTCATGCTAATTCTGCTATATTTACCGCAGTAAGATTATTCATTGAGCAATCAGCACGTTTTAAATTGTTGTATATTTTAGCAATTTATATAGTTATATATTCAGCATATATTTCTGGCGCAATTTGGCATACTATTTTATTTATTCTCTGTCTGCTGGGTGTTGTGTGTTTTATTGTAATTTTTTAATGTACGGGAGCCTCCTATATGAGCACTGTGCTCTTGAGGCAAAAGTAAAGACCCAATAAAGTTAATGGAAAAAAAAGAAAAGCTACCCGAGTAACTATGACAACCTCTAGTCTCATTGATCATATAGTAACCAATAAACCAGAAAAAAATTCTGACTCTGGTATTATCCATACTGGATTAAGTGACCATAGTTTGATATTTGCAATAAGGAAAATTTCTTTGTTAAAAAACAAGAAAAGAAAGTTGAGATAAGAAACATGAAAAAATTTGATCATCAAAAATTTGTTGAGGATCTCAGGCGACAACCCTGGGAAAATGTATATTTCTTTGCTGAAGATCCTATAACGCTATGTGGGAAATTTGGAAAACATTATTCTTAGAGGTCTTAGATAACCATGCACCACTTCAACATAAAAAGATTAGAACAAAAAAGTTCCGTGGATTACAAATGCTATAAAGCAACTCATAATTACAAGGGATAGATTTAAAAGAAAGGCCATTATTACAAACCTAGAAATAGACTGGTTAAATTACAAAACAACAAGAAACAAAGTTATTATTCAGCTAAGAAATGCTAAAAAAGATTATTACTCCACAAAATTTCTGGTCAAAAATGCAATCCTAAAGAGGCTTGGAAAACTATAAACAATATACTAGGCAGACAAAGCAAACCAACAGTAGTAAATGAGTTAAAGTTAGGTGAAAAACGTTTGACAAATACCAAAGATATTGCAGAGGGCTTTAATGATTATTTTTCAAATATTGGCCCTGATCTAGCTAGTAAAATTGATACTCCAAATTTGAACTTTCAAACATATGTTGAAAAGGCTAAATCAGAATTCAGTGCATTCCAGTCAGTCACTGTCAGTAATGGCTACCATCTCTTGCATGGTCTTTTTAGCAACAAAGCCACTAGTGTTGATAAGATATCTAGTAAAATTATTAAAATAGCTGCACCTTCTATTTCAGATTCACTCCAATACATTTTAAAACAGGCTATTACCCTATCCCTTTTCCCTCACGGATGGAAAACGGCTAGAGTAATACCTCTCTATAAAAATGGCCAACGAAACCTGCCAGGAAATTACAGACCAATTTCAGTTTTGCCTGTCATTAGCAAAATTATGGAGCGAATTCTATATGATCAACTATACAATTATTTAACGAAATTTGGACTTCTGAGTGATTGTCAATTCGGTTTTCGTAAATTTCACTCTACAGCTACAGCATTACTGGACTGTACAAATGATTGGTATATGAATTTAGACCGAAAAATGTTTAACCTAGTAGTCTTAATTGACTTGAAAAATGCATTTGTTACTGTTGATCATCAAATATTATTGACAAAATTAGAGCTCTATGGAATAAAAGGGCAAGCTCTATCTTTTCAAGATCGTATCTCTCAAATAGAAACCAAAAATGCCAAATACAAGGGTCAAATGTGGCGTACCACAAGGCTCTATTTTAGCATGGGCGTACCGGGCGGGGGGCGGGTAACGTAGCTGGTTGGGCAGTCGGGCAATAATTATTCGCTGAACAGTCGGGCAATTTTGGTTAATTAAAAAAATAAATGTGACAAATTCTGTAAATTTTGCGGAAAATTTTGTGAAATTTCCCAAAATTTTGTAGGTTCCGGACAATAATGGTATGTCCGGAAAAAATTTTTGACCCCTAAAATGGTACACTGACCGAAATTTTTTTGGCGACGTGGGGGGGGGAGGTCGCCAAACCAAATTCCGGAAAAAATTTTTCGGTACTTGTCGGGCAAAATCAGGAAAAGTCGGGCAAATTTCTTGCCGCCCCCCTAAATTTTTCCTTGTGAATTCTGATTTGGAAAAATTTAGGAAATGGCTATTGCTAATAAACTTAGTCTAAATGTTGCTACGACTGAGTTTATGTTAATTGGTTCAAAACTACTGATTAAAAGTATTTCAAATTTGCAACTCAATGTGAAAATTGAAAACAAGTCAATTAAACAAGTTTATGAAACAAAAACTCTTGGAGTGACAATTGACCAGCATTTATCTTGGAGAACTAATTAACACTGAGTAGGGTAAAGTTGTTACAGAAAGTTTGCCAGTAGAATAGCTGAACTTGTGGCAGTTAAAAAGACCAATTGCTGCCCGATAAATTTGTAAACTAACCCCCATTTAACCAGGCCTAGGGCCAGAGGTAAAAGAAATAACTGAACTCCTGTTGCCGAACAAAAATATATAAATATTCCATAATAACAGTACACACAAATACTAAAAGTAATAATATAAAATGAAGAAAGTAAATCATTAGTGTTACTTAACGTCTTCACGAATCGGCATCCTCATTGACTTCAACATCCTTGGAATATAACAGACCACACTTCAATAGGTCTTCTTTGTGTTTAATACGATAATTAAAATTCGATGACCCGTTCTCGCAAAAACTGTACCATCCACGTGCACTGAATAGACTTTGATTTCAGACGAGCAATTAGCTTTCGTATACAATAATAGCTGGTGATTTGATTTTGTCAAATCTTCATTGATATAAATTTGTTTTCCACGGAGATTTCTTCTAGCTTTCATAAATTTCATTTTAGCACTATGATACATCCTCACTACCATACCTCGTGGGGCAGGCTTTGGGTGACTGTTGCTGACTTGCTTTAGTTGGCCAACGCAATGTGCCTGGTCTGTTTCTTCTCTGCATACTTCGATATTTAAGGTGGCTCGATATAGTTATCATAAAAACCCTGTTCAAGAATCGCGAACTCAAAACCGGTTGACCATTTTTACGCGCAGTTCGCGGAAACTGATTAACAAAATGAAAGAACTTCCAAAATGACCTGACGTGCGCAGTTGCTCGCGCCATCTCACGCCATTGCGCGTGTTCTATAGCGTTTTATGTCAATTGCTGACGTCATTAGAATTTTCCATTTTAGAAAAACAATGCGCTATATCTCTTTATTTTGTCTGGTGACCTATGTTCAAATTTTGCATGCTGTATTGCACCGCTAAAAACTTTCATTATACAAAAAATAAAAAAATTCTGTAATGCCAAAAAATTTTACCGAAGAATATGACATTTTCGCATTTTCCAAAAAAAATGGCATTACAGAATTTTTTTATATTTTGCCAATTGTTAGCTTTTCGTCCAAGTAAAATAATGCACGAAAAAAAAATTGGGGGTCACCATGCTTTTTATTCCAACTATACGAGACGATAGGCCATTTTGGAGTGAATTTCGTACACGTATGTCGTCATAGCAACGAACTATCTGTTACTAAAACTAATATAATTTGAAAGTAGAGTTATCAAAATATATAAAAAACCCAATATCTGTTGAATAAATCCTAAAAATATACGTAGTTTGAACATGTCAAAGTGTTAAACACCTGAATTTTTGAAAACTGTATCGAGCCACCTTAACAGCTGGCCTCTGTAGCTCAGTTGGTTAGAGCACTGCACCGGAATCGCAGGGCCGTAGGTTCAATTCCTACCAGAGGACCTTGTGTTGCATTTTTCGCTGTCGTTCCTGGTTAGGTCTTAAAATGTATATATTCTCACTTGGATTACAAACCCTAACATCCTAATATTAATTCCACCAAGTGAAGTGCAAAAATCTAAATCATTCAAGTCCACCTTATCACAATCCGCATGCACACCCGATTACCTATATATACATGAACTTACGGTTACAGCTTAACAGCTGGCCTCTGTAGCTCAGTTGGTTAGAGCGCTGCACCGGAATCGCAGGGCCGTAGGTTCAATTCCTACCAGAGGACCTT